GCACTTGCTTCTTCAGATCTAAACACGGTAAGAACGAGAGCCCTGGATTTCATGTCTTTTTGTTCTGCTGTACTGAAATCCTGTTGCAGTGGTGGTGGCACTTTGAGACAGGGTTTTGTAGTGTAGCCCAGTCTGGGCTCCAACTGAGGAGCTTCCTGCCTCAGCTTCCTGAGTGCTGGTATTACTAGTATGCACCATCACACCTAACTTTCTGATGACGTTTCCAACTAACAAAACCTGTTTCTAGGGAAGTGACTAGCCTCATATAGCCCTCCACTTACAATCTGTAATGTACACTAACTGGGATACAAACAGATTCATATAGCGGTGAGTTCAGAATAATGACGTAGCAACCCAAGTTCTGATCTGAGTGTCCTGTGATTGCCTTGAGGCCCCTGTAAATGCCCGTGCCCGGTCATCAAGAACTGTGTCTTCCTCCCAGCAAATTTGCTTTTTGGAAAGAATTCCCAAACATTCTTTACACAGAGTTCAAAATCTATTAAAAAATCAGGAAAAAGTCTTTTCCCTTCTCTATCTATCCTTCTTCTTTTAGGTTCCTGCTACTGATGAAAACAGTCCTCCTGGAGTATTCTATGCCAAAGAGTATATCCCAGGTATGTTTCATCTCAAACACAAGTATTAGAGTTCTATGTGTGCTTTTTTCTTTTGTTAATTTATTAAAGAATCACATTTTTTATTTTCGTACATGTCTGTGTGTGGACATACAAATAGGCCACTCTGGCCTCATGCTATGGACTTATATGAACATACACACAGATTCCTGCACATACACAAATACATATCTGCATAGACATATCCATATGAACACAAATAACAATACATAACTCTGTAGCTATAACACAAGAACCTCTAAGTAAGCTGTTCCCAAGACCAGATGTCATTCTAACACAGGGAAAATGGTACCTCTGTCTCAATCATGAAGGATCATTTTTTATCTGGTCTTTGCTAATTAAGAGTTGACAATTGTTGAACTGCTTCCTATTTGCTAAACTGGAGTGAAAATGATAGAATTCAACAAAGGCTGTTGTGCACTGGGATCCACTGACGTTTACTATGGAAAGGAGGAAACATCTGTGACCTATGGACATATTTATGATCCTAATATACATAGTGTAATTAAATTATGCAAACAATTAAGTCTCTACGACTTGGAATAATGACACTGGGTCCCAATTTCTATTGCAATCCTGGAAATGGAACCCAGGGCTTTGGGCATGCTAGCTAGGAAAAGTGGTCTACCACTGAGCTACAACCCCAGCCTGGAGTCATATTTTCAATACTTAGAATTTACCATTTGTTTCTATGGCAGGCTGCAGTCAAAAGTTTATCAGATATAGTCATCTTCACAGAGTTTAAAGCTGGAAAGGTCTTAGGGCAACTGTTTTGCAAACTCCCTCCTAGGGACATGTAAACAAACACCCACTTCCTCCTTAGAGGACACAAAATCAAGGTACCACCCCACCAAAGTCCAACTTGCAACAGTCACCAAGCCCCATCTCAGTGGTCTCTTTCAAGTAGTCACAGCTGTTCTGATAGAAGCCAGCTGTTATGCTTAGAGGACAGTGTCCTACAACAGCAGCCCCTTCATCTCATATACAAGAACAAAGGCGTCCAACAGCGTTCGGCACACGCGGCTCTATCTAGTATCAACATCAGACAACGGTGGCTGCCTGAAGAACCCCTAACAGACGGGCACTATCACTGGTGCTCCAGACACTTTACCAGCCCCTAGAAGGATGCTTCTCTGACCTAAACAGGCACTAAGGACTTCAGGATGATTGACACACAGCTTTCTCCCTGCTGGAGCTTCCAGACTAGCGAGGGTTCCACAAAGCTCATCAACAGAATGCATACAAAATAGGGTGAAAACCACTTAAGAACAAGGTGCTGAGCTCGGAGCAGAGGGCATTTACAACTCTGAAGAAGGTGAGTAGGAATTTGAACTTAATCTTGAAGCAAGAATAGGCACGAGAGAATGGGAGGAGGAAGAACCCGCAGACAACCCACACGTGAAGCAGCATGGGGGAGGTCTACGAAGAGACAGAGAGACGGGCCTGCGACAATTCCCTGGGCTCTTCTTGCCCATCAGGGCTGTGTGTATTCCAAAGACTAAGCTGTCTTGAGCCATCAGCCAGCAAGAGTCTTGTTTCCCCTTACAGTGAACCCTCTGAGTCTGCAACGGGACAAGTGGTGGGACTGGCCTGGCAGGAACAGGGATATTCTAGAGTCACTTGTGTTTCTCCCTTTGGCTATC